TGCAGGATGTCCAGACGATATCGGTTGCTCAACAATTTATAGCCCTTCAACATGCCCTAAAAGCGATCGTAAGGAAAGTTGGGGCGCAAACTCTCACCAAATCATGTTCCGAAATTTTACGTTTCAAAGTGCATGTTGCATTAAACGTTGCCGTGGTTCTGTTGTACTTGTAATTCAAAATGGCGAGGTCTACTAGTGAGGGATCGAAATATTCGAGTTCCATACGTTCGTGTATCACCTGGTAGTCGAGTTGCTGAAAAAGTTAAAGAGTCGTGGTCCTTGTTCCGTCGTTGAGTGTGTCTTACAAAGGATTTCGCCTGGACGAAGAGTGGAAGAATTGAAACTATGCGGAGCAGCATCGCTAATACTAGGCGACCACCTGCCGTGACGAGTGTTAAATAGTCCTCGCCTACCCGCGGTAATGATTTTTAAATTCGAATTTAATAGCTCTAATTTGCAAGGACAATCGGTTACATTCTTTTATTTGTCGTTCATCGCCTAGAACGACCTCGGTAAAAAACACATTACAATCGTGATGGGGGTGTACTCTGCACACGCATGGAGATTGACAGTGATTAATTTTTAGCGAATGCCACGCCCCCTTGACCTTTGTGACTTGTGAGTTGAGCGTGATAGAAGAAATGTTAACGAAGTGGGGCATACACGAAAACGCGGAGGCACAGAATCCCAGAGACGCAGAAGCGCAGAGGAGGTGTAAATAAATCAAAAACTTTCAAACAAAACAGGTTGGATTAAGGAGTGAGGAGACGTGAATGGGACAAGCATTCGAGAAGTTAGAAGTGCGAGAAGAAAAGACGGCGGGAAAGAAGAATAAATCAAGCGTGAATATTGAGTGAGGGAGTGTGACAAGAACAGAAGTGTTAGCAGGTCGCGATAGCACTGCGGGAGAGGTTTCAGGGTGATATTAAATTAAGAACAAGATATAAAAAATTTCAGAGTATCGTGAAGAAAGTATGAAGGTGAGGAGTCGTCAAGGTGTGAGAAACCTGTAGAGAAGGAAGGGACATGAAGAGGAAGTCATGAAGTGGTAAAGGATGTACGAAGTTCACTTAATAGACGGGCGATAGAAGTGTCTAGGATGAACGACGAACGTTCGAAGGAGAGACACTCTCCTTTAGGACTGTTGAAGAACTTATGGATGGACAGAAGAACTGTAAAAGGTTAGCCTTATGGTCACTTTCCTTAAGACGCTTAAAGCCTCCAAGTGCAAATTAAAGATTCTTGAAGCATCTAAAATTTAATACATCTCATTTTAAGCCTGTACCTTACTGCCATATACCAATTTGCGGTGATTGCAATCTGACAGCTGTCCTTTTCTAACAGTTTCTCAGTGAGGAAATTTGGTGCGCAAACACTCACCAAATCACGATCCGATATTCCACGGTTAAGAAGGGCCGTTATATTAAACGCTGCCGTGGTTCTGTTGTACTTGTAATTCAAAATGGTGACGTCTAGGGATCGAAGTATTCGTCCTCCAGACGTTCGCTTATCACGTCGTAGCGAGTCACGGTCGTCGTTGAGCGTGTCTTACGAAAGACTTCACCTGGCCGAAGAGTGCAATTATTAAAACTTTTTGAAGCATCATCGCTAATACTAGGCCGTAACGAGTGTTAAATAATCACTGCCTATTTGTAGTAGGTAATGATTTTTAAATTCGAATTTAATGGCTCTAATTTTCAAGCACAATAATTCACATTCTAATCTTCTTTTATGATCTTTTATTTGTCGTGCATCGCCTAGAACGATCTTGCACCGCAAAACGAAGCACATTATAATCATGGATGGAACCATCCAAAACTTCTGTATTAGAAGAATATTCTCCTAATTCTCTCAGGATCTTTGGCTACCAGGAGAACAGTTATTTAATTATTGATGAGCCTTTGAAACCCTTTACACGTGTTGAGGGTCTATCTAGATCCCGTCATTGGTCGCTAAGGGTTTGTGAGAGCCTACAAATGATTTTTGACGCATGTTAAACCTTATAATCAATTAAAAGGCGCCACGGTCCACCAATGCTTTTAAAAGGTCTTCAAGAGTTTAGAGGTTTGAGAGCGCCCTTAAAACGTTTCTAGAGCTTCACAAGATTCACAAAGTGTCACACCCAAAAATGTTGTTTTTAAAGGTTCTTAAGGTCTGAAAGGCAGCTGAAGGTGCTCAAAGCTTCTACAAGACCCTTACAGTGGCTTCGAGGCTTTTAAAACGTTTCGGAGTCGGAATTACGTTGACCTTGTCAACTTCATAGTGCAGTTTAACACATGAAATCGATTACAGACTCAGGCCCCAAGGGCGCTCAAAGGCTTTTAACCGCAAAGCTCTTAGTGGGTGACTTACCTACTCTTAAAAACTCATAAAACCGGTCCTCTCGTAACATTCTTCTTGAAAAACATTTAGTGCTAGAACTCTCATGGTAATTTAGAGACAAATGGGGCTCAAAATGCTTTTTCTCCAGATTACCAGCTGCCTTTCGAGCATATAACAAGTTTGAAGAACCTTTACGATTCTCGAAGAGCCTTTAATAATTTTTAAGTTAATTAACGCCCGAACCTTGAAAAGCCTTTAAGACCCTTTGCAAGTTTTAAGGGTATCAAAGTACATTTAAGGGACTATCAAGCCCTCCGTTTTGCTGAAGATCCTCTCTCTGCTGGGGATATTTACCACACGGACTTCCCCCCCCCCTCCCCCAGTAACACATTCTTCTTGAAAAACATTAAGTGTTATCCCTCTCATGATAATTTTGAGACAAATGGGCCTCAAGATCCTTTCTCTCCAGATTCCCAGCTGCCTTTCGAGTATATACGATTCTCGAAGAGCCTTTAATAATTTTTAAGTTAATTAACGCCCGAACCTTGAAAAGCCTTTAAGACCCTTTGCAAGTTTTAAGGGTATCAAAGTACATTTAAGGGACTATCAAGCCCTCCGTTTTGCTGAAGATCCTCTCTCTGCTGGGGATATTTACCACACGGACTTCCCCCCCCCCTCCCCCAGTAACACATTCTTCTTGAAAAACATTAAGTGTTATCCCTCTCATGATAATTTTGAGACAAATGGGCCTCAAGATCCTTTCTCTCCAGATTCCCAGCTGCCTTTCGAGTATATACGATTCTCGAAGAGCCTTTAATAATTTTTAAGTTAATTAACGCCCGAACCTTGAAAAGCCTTTAAGACCCTTTGCAAGTTATAAGGGTATCATAGTGCATTTAAGGGACTATCAAGCCCTCCGTTTTCTGAGGATGCTCTCTCTGCTGGGGGTATTCCATACCTCACGCCCCCCCCTCCCCCAGTATCACATTTTTCTTGAAAAACATTAAGTGTTAGCACTCTCATGATAATTTAGAGACAAACGGACCTCAAGATGCTTTCTCTCCAGATTCCCAGCTGCCTTTCGAGCACATACCAGGTTTTAAGATTCTCGAAGAGCCTTTAATAATTTTTAAGTTAATTAACGCCCGAACCTTGAAAAGCCTTTAAGACCCTTGGCAAGTTTTAAGGGTATCAAAGTGCATTTAAGGGACTATCAAGCCCTCCGTTTTGCTGAGGATCCTCTCTCTGCTGGGGATATTTACCTCACGGCCCTCCCCACCAGTAACACATTCTTCTTAAAAATCATTTAGTGTTAGCACTCTCATGATAATTTAAAGACAAATGATCCTCAAGATGCTTTCTCTCCAGATTCCCAGCTGCCTTTCGAGCATATAACAAGTTTAAGAACCTTTACGATTCTCGAAGAGCCTTTAATAATTTTTAAGTTAATTAACGCCCGAACCTTGAAAAGCCTTTAAGACCCTTTGCAAGTTTTAAGGGTATCAAAGTGCATTTAAGGGACTATCAAGCCCTCCGTTTTGCTGAGGATCCTCTCTTTGCTGGGGATATTTACCTCACGGACCCCCCCCCCTCCCAGTAACACATTCTTCTTGAAAATCATTTAGTGTTAGCACTCTCATGATAATTTAGAGACAAATGGGCCTCAAGATGTTTTCTCTCCAGATTCCCAGCTGCCTTTCGAGCACATACCAGGTTTTAAGGTTCTTGAGGGCCTTTAATAATTTTTCCTGAACCTTGAAAAGCCTTTAAAACCCTTTGCAAGTTTTAAGGGTATCAAAGTTCATTTAAGGGACTATCAAGCCCTCCTCTTTACTCTCATGATAATTTAGAGACAAATGGGCCTCAAGATGCTTTCTCTCCAGATTCCCAGCTGCTTTTCGAGCATATAACAGGTTTTAAGAACCTTTAAGGTTCTTGAAGGGACTTTAATAATTTTTAAGTTAATTAACGCTCGAACCTTGGAAAGCCTTTAAAATTTTAAGGGTATCAAAGTGCATTTAAGGGACTATCAAGCTCTCCTGTTTGCTGAAGATCATCTCTCTCCTGGGGATATTCCATACCTCAACCCCCCCCCCCCTCAGTAACACATTCTTCTTGAAAAACATTAAGTGTTAGAACTCTATTCTATTTTTCTCTGACTTTTGCCCCTTTGCTACAAAGGTTCTTTTGAGAACCTTTCAATTGTTTTTTTAGTCTTTAAAGTTTTAATTAGTCTTAAAAAACATATGGAACTTTAATAGTTTTTGTTTTTATGAGCTTCCATGACTCACCAAACGTTTTCTTTGCAGGGATCTGTAATAGTCTATGAAGCCTATTACTAACTTGTAAAACCTGTAACCGACCTTTTGTGAATATCAGCCTTTAATACCTTTACAAGTTTTAAGACCATTTTTGTGCATTTAAGGGCTTTTGAAGAATCCTTTAAACTTCTTTTTCCTTTGAACGTCTGGTCTCTAAGTACTTTAGTGAGAGGACCATTACAGTCCGTACCTTTAACATTACTAATTTTTCCTTTTTTTGAGCATTGAGGAGTTACAAAAGGTGGTTTTCAAAAGGCTCCAAGGGAAACCTGTAGAGATTTAGCCTATCAGAATATATGAAATTCTGATCTTGAAAGGTCCCAAATTGTTCAAAATTAATTTCGCATTTTGTTGCAGATTCATTTATGCCGATTCAAATGGAGCTGTCGAACTGGTGAGTCATCAAATATTTTATTAAAATTTTCTTGCTAATGCCTTTCGAATAAGACTTTGACTTACTGGCACAATTAACATTATCTGGCGATTAAAGTAAAATTTCAAATTTCCCGGGACAGGGTCGCAATAAATTTGAGCGCCTCATCTGTGACATCATAATCCACTTACTCGTAAGCTTACTTAAATGGAAAACATCGCCTTCTTTCCGTTCCGTTAAATTTAATCCTCGCGTTCTAAGCGGAAAACAAAACGCCAGAGTTTACAAGAAATTACTTTCGCAAAATAAACTACGCATTTTGGGTTTTCTCGGCCTTTTGATTCCCGCAAATTGGCGAAAGCGTAAACAAGTACTTTCCGTTTGGCGGGGGTAGTTCCATTTCGGCCGCGGATTCGTTTTTTTCGAGTCCCTTCTATTCGTATTAGATTAGAATAGGAAACGGCCTCATAACGAAAAGGTTGCTTGTTTACGAGGAGCGGCGCCAAAAACTTGATGCCCGACAGTACAAACACCGTAATCCTTTTCAGTCCCCTTTTTATCAACGTCGCAGGAACTTTCAAAGGAAAATTACGCGCTCGGATGGCACGACTCGCGCTGGATTTCACTTGATAAAATGGAAGACGCTTTCTTAATAGCCTCACTGTGTCATCCGAGCTTGATTTACTCTCTCGCGCTCATTTTTCGAGTTACTCAAATGTTCTTGCGACACGCGGGGTTTTCTATGCATGAAATTAAACACCCTCGAAAAATCAAGGGCGCGTTTCAGAATCCGAAAGGCATCCTCTTAACATTCACCTTTTAGGAGAAATAGTCCGAGTGCTAATTATTAATAGTTAGCACGATACTTGTAACCTGTAAGCTGTAATTGTAATTTTTGAACTAGTAGCCCAATCTTGGAACTGTTTGAAATTATGGATTCTACAGGCCACATTCTATAAGAAAATTTTTTTCCGGGTCAATCTGAGACAATTTTTTCTTCGGGGCTCAAAAAAAAGCAGTGTATAACCTTCCTTTTTTACCAAAAATCGACTGCACCAAAATTTCTCGGGAAAACACTTTTTCTTATTAATTTTGGTGCGTAGAATCCAATACAATTCGTACTTTTTCGATCAGACTTCTCAATCAAAAGTTATAGACTAGAAACCAATTTCGAAAGAAAATTCAAAGGGCTGTAACCTTTGAACTAGTAGCCCAATCTTGGAACTGTTTGAAATTATGGATTCTACAGGCCACATTCTATAAGAAAATTTTTTTCCGGGTCGATCTGAGACAATTTCTTTTTTCGGGGCTCAAAAAAAGGCAGTGTATAACCTTCCTTTTTTACCAAAAATCGACTACACCAAAATTTCTCGGGAAAACACTTTTTCTTATTAATTTGGGTGTGTAGAATCCAAATCAATTCGTACTTTTTCGATCAGACTTCTCAATCAAAAGTTATAGACTAGAAACCAATTTCGAAAAAAAATTCAAAGGGCTGTAACTTTTGAACTAGTAGCCCAATCTTGGAACTGTTTGAAATTATGGATTCTACAGGCCACATTCTATAAGAAAATTTTTTTCCGGGTCGATCTGAGACAACTTTTTTTTGCGGCTCAAAAAAAAGGCAGTCTATAACCTTCCTTTTTTACCAAAAATCGACTACACCAAAATTTCTCGGGAAAACATTTTTTCTTATTAATTTGGGTGCGTAGAATCCTAATCAATTCGTACTTTTTCGATCGGACTTCCCAATTAAAGGTTATAGACTGCGAGTAGAAACCAATTTCGAAAATAAATTCAAAGGGCTGTAACTTTTGAACTAGTAGCTCAATCTTGGAACTGTTTGAAATTATGGATTCTACAGGCCACATTCTATAAGAAAATTTTTTTTCCGGGTCGATCTGAGACAATTTTTTTTTCGGGACTCAAAAAAAGGCAGTGTATAAACCTTCCTTTTTTACCAAAAAATCGACTACACCAAAATTTCTCGGAAAAACACTTTTTCTGATTAATTTGGGTGCGTAGAATCCAAATCAATTCGTACTTTTTCGATCAGACTTCTCAATCAAAAGTTATAGACTAGAAACCAATTTCGAAAAAAATTCAAAGGGCTGTAACTTTTGAACTAGTAGCCCAATATTGGAACTGTTTGAAATTATGGATTCTACAGGCCACATTCTATAAGAAAATGTTTTTTCCCGCGGTCGATCTGAGACTAGGGAATGCAATACCGGGATCGGGGGATCCCGAAATACCGGGATCCCGCAGCATTTTTGCGGGATTAATCCCGCACATAAATGGAGCGGGATCCCGCGGGATTTGCGGGACTGAGGAATTTGTCGACCAAGGGAACGACTCTGTTTGCTTTGTTAATGAAACGCATAACGGAGAAATTATTTTTTATATAATTCTTAAACTTTTTTGTTAAAAATGTACTATGATTTTTGAGGCACTTTAGAAGTTCGCCTTTTTGTGCTTTACAGGTGAGGTTTTTTGGAGTTCTAAGTTAGGCTGAAGGTACTTTTTTGTTGAATATTGTGATAATTAGCGATTTATTTTAATACAGAAGTTAACTGCACAAAATTGCTTAATTGCCAATTTATTTAAAATTTTGCGGGATTCCGCAAATACCGGGCGTCCCGCGGGATTAACATCTAAGGATCCCGCAAATACCGGGATTGAGATTTTGCTGCGGGGTTGCATTCCCTAGCTGTAAAGGATCGAAAGCAGTACAGTAACGGTGGGGGGCACCTCTACACGCACATACAGATTGATCATGATCGACCTAAAGGTTTACGTAAATCGCCCGATTTTGAAGAGCACTCCTTTTTTTGTCATTCAATTCAACCTCTATCGAACTAAGATTTGACACGGTACGCGGACCCCTACCTCCTCCGAGGACTATGATATGCCCCCTAGGAAACTAGGAATCGATACTGACGCTTTTGAGAGTAGACAAACGTAGTTACGGAGGGAGGACTATGATATGCCCCCTAGGAAACTAGGAATCGATACTGACGCTTTTGAGAGTAGACAAACGTAGTTACGGAGGGTTTCGGGGGTATGGGGGCAATACCCCCAGCAAACTAGTGCTCGATCTTTCCTTCTCTATTATCTCTACCACCCTCATGGAGATATGTTGCAAACACTAACCGAGTATTCGTATACCTCCGGACCCCCCAGACCCCGCGGTATTGTTTCCCACAAGAGAGTTCGATCTTGCAAACTTTCATTATGGTTTTTGAGAGTAGAAAGTGAAATATAGTAAAGGGGGTCTGGGGGGTTTTGAATACCCCTCAGAAATACCCCCAGTAAACTAGTACTCGATATTTTCTTCTCTAATCGAAGGTATTGGGGGGCCATTCCATATCCCCCAGACCCCCCTGGTGCTGCTTTCCTACTGCCCGGCCTTGAAAATTTTCACTACGGTTTTTGGGAGTAGGCAGTCCGATATGGTACCGGGGCCAGCCAACTAGTTCTCGATACTTTTTCTCTGTTGTCTCTAGCAATAGTGTGGCAGACTTTGGCAAACATTAATCGAGTGCTCGTAATACCCCCCAGACACCC